AGAGGTCTCGATTTTCCAACTTTAGCTGGGTCATTAAACTGACTTGGAAAGTCAACTAATGACCTTGGACTTTGAAATTGGATATATTCAGCCTCATCTCGTCATAGACAGCACGCTTGAATTTTCCGCGAAGCTCAAGCTTGATCAGGGGCCAAACGGCTGGGCCGGGGTTCTAATTAACCCCCTATACTATGTTGATCATGCACATTTACAGGTAACACTCTCACCAGAACACCAGCCAACATCTGTGCACAAGCTTGCTTCAATACTACCTATGGTTTGCCCTCTACGAATAAAGACGTGCTAGGTCGGAAAAATCCCCACTGTGCTATTGTCTGAGTGACCGGCCGCACCGCCCCGCCACCGATGATGCACCGGCCGCACCTGGGCGGCCGCCGGGCAGCACTGCCCCCCCCCCCCCCTGGGCAGCACCGCCCCGCCACCGGCCGCACCCGGGCGGCCGCCGTGCCGGCGCTGATTACCGACGGCGGCCGCTAACGGCGCCGCTTGATCATGTCGGCCGAATCCCTGGCGGCCCGCGAAGTATGGCAGCAATCGCGGCCTCGGTCGGTGGCGGCCGCGCAGTGCCGTCCTGCTGCCGGGGCACTGTCAGTACAGTGCCGTCCTGCTGCCGGGGCACCGTCAGTACAGTGCCGTCCTGCTGCCGGGGCACTGTCAGTACAGTGCCGTCCTGCTGCCGGGGCACTGTCAGTACAGTGCCGTCCTGCTGCCGGGGCACTGTCAGTACAGTGCCGTCCTGCTGCCGGGGCACTGTCAGTACAGTGCCGTCCTGCTGCCGGGGCACTGTCAGTACAGTGCCGTCCTGCTGCCGGGGCACTGTCAGTACAGTGCCGTCCTGCTGCCGGGGCACTGTCAGTACAGTGCCGTCCTGCTGCCGGGGCACTGTCAGTACAGTGCCGTCCTGCTGCCGGGGCACCGTCAGTACAAGCGGACCACTCGCCGCTGATCACTGGCACTCCACAGCAGGGCCACTATCACCTGTCAACTGTCAGGGAATAAAACGGTTAGGAGAGTCAAAACATGGTACCTATACGGCAAACAACAATCATCCATCGCAGCAACAGCATACACTAACACCGACACACGCACACTCACTCCAACTAAAGGAAACGTGTCGCTGCCGGTTTAAAAGCTGCTGGCTGGAGCCGTGTCACGTGATTAGGCATGGAGTTGAAAGGGATTATCAGTTTTTCCCCGATATTTCAGAGTTATTCAGTGAAATGTGTAGAAGGTAGCTGAAGCCCAATCCAATGCCATCCGTCTCAAACTTGCCTAATTTTCATAGAAATGAAGACTAGAAGGGACAGCTGCCTCTGCGGCATAGGTACGTAAAATGCGCCGCCATTGAACCACAGTGAAAGGCTGTGGTTGTTTACATGGGGCCCTATGGCGAAATCGTGTAGTTGGGTGCTTTCGTGCTTTATTCTATGGAATTGAAGGGGTGCATGGGCATTTCGAGTGCTGTCCCACAAACAGAGTTCATCAGAGAAGACGATGAAACACATTGAACCCTCGCCGGACCTATTGGTTTTCTACATACGCGCCGGCCGAGGGGGGTGGGTGGGTACGATCCCCCCTCGCCGTTTCGCCCCTGGTGGAGCTAGCGCGTCGCGGAAAAAACGAGCGTCTGCACCGTTATGAGACGCAGAGATTGGTACCCGATTTTAAGGTCCTAGGTCAACCGGTGACCTCTGAGGTCAGGTCAAGTGCCCCAAGGTAAGGCTCAGTTTTTGGTGAATAACTTCGCAAAAACGGCCGCAGAGCCGCGACTTTGGCAGCATCGTGCTCGCCTTGCTCAGGCGCGTCGAATGGTATACTTTTTGTTTGGGTCAGGTCAACTTAGAGTGTTGACCTCAGGTCACGGTCAGGTCAGCGCCCCCAGGTCACGAAGCTGGTCAAAAGAGGTCATGTCGAATATCATTCGATTCGGCAGATCTTCTTGAGTCTATTGGTGGCTTTCCCGACTCGCTAGCTCAATTTGATCGGGAGTTATTGACGAAAAACTAGTATGACCTTGATGACGTGACAACATTGCAAAAGTGACGCATCTAACCTTGCGAGGAGTGCATCAAATCACAATTCTGTGTGCTTGAGATAGTTGGAGATCGTTCCCGGCGCCAGAATAGCAGTTTTCATTTTTCCCCATTGACTTATAATGGTGAGGTCACGAAAATGACCTGACCTCATGTGACCTTTACAAAAAATCCGAGATATACAAGTTGTGAGACTCGTAATGGATACTAGATCCTGCAAGTTTCATTTCCCTGTGAAAGCTGGGGCATTCCACGCTAGATCGTACCACTTTTTTCCAATTTGACACCCTCATCCCTCGGAATTTGACGAGAATTGGTCTCAGGGGTAATCAGGGGCTCTGAATCCACCTGTAACAATTTCAGGCTTATCAGATAAGTATTTTTTGAGTTATGGTGTATAATATTTTTTGGATCTTGCTTTGCAGTGCTAAGTTTGGCGGGCTGTAACTCTAAGACGGATTATTCAAATGCCAAATATTATATAACATTGAACTTGCAATGAAACAGATATTAAGATGTATTTTTGAAATTTCGAAAAATACGCTATTTTTGATATGTGACATATCGAGTTTTCTTTCATTTGTATTTTTTGGACTTAGGGACCAAATTTTTTGGAATTTTTATTTCTTAAAAAAAAATATTTGGCTCATTGTTAAGAAGTATGCAAAAAATTAGGAAGGTGTTCTTTCTATAAATGTATTTATTTTACGTCACGATAACGGTTTCGAATAGTGATTTCGGGAGGGGAGCTTACAAATGGCGTGGTAAAGCTGCCTAGTGACATCACGGGTTACTGAAATTTCAATTGAAGTCTGAGTCATCTGAAAAAAAGTGAAGAGGTTTCATCCAACCCTCTTTCCTATAAGCGCGAGGGTGAAAAAGGCTGTTTAGTTCTGACATTGTTTTGGACGCCAATGACCATAGCTGTCCGAGATGAAAGTTACAGGACGCATACATGGTGTCCTTCAGAGGTCTTACAACTTGTATATCTGGGAATTTTTTTAGGTTACATGAGGTCAGGTCGGTCACGTGACATCACTGTTATAAATCAATGGGGAAATATAAAAACTGCTATTTTGGCGCCGAGAATGATCTAAAACTATCTCACATAAATGGTATCGTGATTTCATGCACTCCTTGCAAAGTCCAATGCTTCACTTTTACATTTTAACCCTTGCGTGACGTCATTTATGACGTCGTTAGGGTCGTGCGAGTTTTTCGTCAATAACTCCCGGTCAAATGGAGCTAGAGAGTCGGAAAAGACACCAATGGACTCGGGAAGACCTTCCGAATCGAATGATATGCCATATGATACCCTTTGCCCAGCTTCGTGACCTGGGGGCTCTGACCTGACCTTGACCCGAGGTCAACTACATAAATTGACCTCACCCTAGCAAAAAGTATACCATTCGATGCACCTGAGCTAGGCGAACACAATGATGCCAAAATCGCGGCTCTGCGGCCATTTTTTGCGAAGTTATTTACTAAAAACCGAACCCGTAACTTCAGTCACTTGACCTGACCTCAGACGCTACCGGTTAACCCGCGCCCTGCTGGGGGGAGGTGTTTGAACACCCCCCCTTGTGGTTTTTCGCGAATATCTCAAAAACGGCGGCGCGGAGCGCCGCCGTTTTTCGTACACCTTATCATACATCAATTCTACACATGTTGTGAAAATTTCAGACCGTTTCTTTTCCGATAAGACGCAGCTTGGGATAAGTAAATCTGAGATCATCATGAATGGATATTCAATATTTGTTTCGGTTATAAAGCATGAAAATCAACGGTGGCTTCAGCTACGCAAAAATGGCATGTATGTTAAATAACTTCATTAGGGGAAGTTGGGGCTAGGGTATATTGAGTGAAGGGTAGGACGAACTTTGGTGGGAATTTCTAGTATAACTACTAGAAAACCTACTATATGTGGTCGGGACTAGCAAAAAGTTAGTTCAAACTAGAATATGGTAGCGCTTATGGTTGGCAGTCGTGACGCGCACGTGACATTCATTTCTTAAATTCCTTAAATAACAGGTTTTAGGGGCCGATTAGTGGGCAGATACATTCAATTAGCTATTACTAATTGATTATGCAAACATTCAAGAATCTACATCATTCAATTCTAGCCAAAATCACGCGGCGCTCCCAGGATTCGAACTCACGACCCTCGGATCCGTAGGCCGATACGCTACCGACTGCGCTACCGCGGACCGCGCGCCGACCATCGGAGAGGCGGATCGCGGGTGCTGGCGTGCAGAGAAATCTTTACCCTGTACGCCGTAGAAGATCGGCTGGGTTTCGTGAAAAATGGTAGAGGAATTGTCGAAAGAAAATTCATCGATCTATCATTTGAGACCAAGAACCATTGATTCCTTCAAAGGTTGACCGAGATATCGCTCGCCGAAAACAGGCCATTTAACATGTAAACCCTATGGGCTGGTAGGAAATGTACGCCGTGGAGCAGCAGTGCTACCAACTAACTTCGGCGGGGGCCGAGTTGGGGCAATGCCGGAGTTGGGGCAAAGCCGAAATTCGAGATATTTCGAAAACTGTACGACATGGGTGCCACCTGTCAGTGATGCTCTGAAGCTTCAGTGACTACCAATTATCGTGTGATGTGCATAAGTTGGGGCACCCCGCGTGTGCGTGCCTGGGCGCGCCTCTGCGCTCGCCTGCCGCCGTGACCGGGACCTGGGCGACGGAGCGGCGGAGCGCCAGTCTACGGTTTGAGGTGAGTGAGAGCGCGCGGTCACACTGGTGGCAGCGGTGGGATAAGTGCAGTGATGGAGCGAGACAATCGGTTGGTGTGGGGGGACGGGGAAGATCTGGACGATTTTCTCCGACGCGTGGATGCGTGTCGTCTCACCGTTGGAGACGAAAGTAAGGCGGTAGGGAAGGCCCTACTGGGCCTTGGATCGAGAATCAGTGTGATGGATTCTCTTTCGGAAGATGACAAGAAGGACGTCGCAAGTCTGAAGGCAGCCCTGAGGCGGGAGTTCGGCAACTCAACCAGGTGGTACCAGGAGAGTTTCGAGAAACGGCGGAAGAAGCCCGAGGAGACATACGGTATGTTCCTGTCTGTTTTATGCTCTCTGTTCCGTGGTGCGTTTCCAGGCACTGATACTGACGCCCCGGTAGCCAAGACGCTGCTCAAAAGCCGTTTTTTGGATGGGATCAATCCAAATGTGTCGTCCCAGTTGCGCCTGATGTTTCCCGACGTCACTGCTGATAAGTTGCCGGAGCATGCTCGACGCGTAGATGAGGCTCTGGCGTCCTCGGGGTCACATGCGCCGGTACAACAGGTCGCGGAGCTAGGAGCAGAGGAGGGTGGTGAGGTAGCCCAGCTGCGGGGAGAGGTCGCTGAATTATCGCGTATGGTACAGGCGATCCAGTCCGGCGGCCCGCGGGCTCGGCCGACCCGTGGAGGACCGGCGGCCGGCGCAGCCCGAGGCGCCATGACGTCATCGCGCGGCTCGGCCAATGTCCAGTGCTGGACCTGCGGTGCGCAGGGGCACGTCCAGGGGGAGTGCAGGAGCGCGCGAGGTGGACGGACCGGTGGCCAGCGGCCGGGGGCCACCGGCGGAGAGGAGAGGGGATCACGTCGAACATGTTGGACTTGCGGTTCACCGGGACACATGCAGAGGGAATGTTTCAGGGCACCGGTAGGTCGTGGTAGAGGCCGTCCAGCGCCGGTCACCTGTTGGAGATGCAATGAGTTCGGCCACACTCAGTACGATTGTCCGTTAAATTTAAACTGAAGTGGGTTACTGCCGAGGGGCGGGCGGTAACCAGCTCTCAAGGAAAATGCCTCAGAACTGGTACTGCTCTACCGGTGCGGTCAGCTGAAGGGCCCTCGGCTTGTTCTCTGCATGTGAGAGGTCGTATTGGAAAGCTGCCGTGTACGTGGTTGGTGGACACGGGCGCGGTGGTCTCGTGCGTGTCGGCGGCTCTACCGGGAGTCAGCTCCGTTCCTCTTTCCACAGCTGAGCAGAATCCAATCGGAGCTAACGGGATACCGCTGCAGTGTGTCGGCCAGATTTCAGCGGACCTCCTGATCGGACCAGCCGCGGTCAGCAACGCTCGCATTCTGGTTGTCAAGGACCTCTCGGCACCGGCAATCCTGGGCACGGATGTGCTCAGGAAGTTCAAGACATTCAGCGTGGATTTTTCGAAGCGGTCTCTACATATCGGTAGTCATTGCATCCAGTTGGAGGCAAGGCGTGAAGGTACACCGCAGCAGCCGGTTTCCGTCTGTTTGGCATCAGATTATACCCTGGATCCTTTCTCAGAGCGACTGGTCGACGTCATGGCGTTTGATTTCGGGGCGTCGGCACGTGATGTCATCTTTGACCCCGATCCATCGAAGGCGGTGCGGCTTGGTGTCGCCCTCTGCCCCTGTATAGCACGGTCGGATGTCGATAACAGGATTCCGGTCCTTGTGAAGAATGCTGGAGCAGAGCCAGTGAGGTTGTATGCGAACTCTGTCTTGGGAGAAGTCAGCGAGGGGCAAGTGGCGGCAGTGGCTAACGGAACGAAACCAGACAGAAACGGCCCGGTTCAGGTTGATCTGTCGGGCGCAGAACTAGGCGATCGAGACCGGGGAACGCTCAGGAGGCTGTTAAACAGTTACCGAGATGTTTTCGCAAACACAGACGACGAATTGGGTCGAACAAACATTGTTCAGTTCTCGATCAACACTGGGAATCGCCCCCCGGTGGCAGTCCGAGCACGCCGTACCCCCTATCATTTGCGGCCCGAAGTTCGGAGGCAGATTATGAACATGGAAGAAAGAGGAATAATCCAGAAATCGACGTCGCCATGGTCTGCCCCAATTTTGATGGTAAAAAAGTCGGACGGGTCATATCGTTTTGCGGTAGATTTTCGAGAGCTGAACCGACAAACAGTAGATGAAGTAGCGTACCTCCCATCAGTGAAGGAATGTCTTGACAGTTTGGCTGGTTCACGGATTTTCACAACATTGGACCTGAATTCGGCCTATTGGCAAGTTCCAATAGCACCGGAAGACCGGAAAAGACGGCGTTTCTGACCGAGGATAACAAGTGGGAATTTCTGGTTATGCCATTTGGGGCCAAGGGAGCTCCGGGCTGTTTCTCACGTCTGATGACCGAGGTGTTGCGCGGTCTGCTCGGACACGGCGTGACCGCGTACTTGGACGATATTATTGTGGGAGGCACCACGATAGTCGAGCATTTGTCACTGTTACAGGCTGTCTTACAAAGACTGAGACAGGCAGGTTTGACGGTGAAGAGCTCCAAGGTGGTTCCCTGTCGTCGTCGCATTCGTTTTCTTGGTCACGTGGTCTCAACGGAAGGTCTTGAACCTGACCCGGAGAGGGTGGAGGTGATCCGGAACTGGCCCCGACCGGAGACAACGAAACAAGTCCGGCAGTTCACCGGCCTCTGCAACTATTACAGCGACTTCGTGCCGAATCTTCAACAGCTGGCGGCGCCACTACACGAGATCTCGGGTAAGGCGCGTTTCTCCTGGAATGTAGACCGAGAGCAGGCATTCGTGAGACTAAAGGATGCCCTCTGTCAGGCCACTACGCTACAGCTTCCAGACATGACCAGAGAATTCGAAATAAGCACAGATGCCTCGGATACGGGACTCGGATGTGTCCTGTCGCAACGTACGGAAAGTGGGCAGGACAGACCGGTGTGTTTTGCCTCTAAGACATTTTCTGCCGCTGAACGCAATTGGCATATTCGTGACAAGGAAATGTTTGCCCTGATATTCGCTGTCAGGAAGTTCCGTACTTACCTTCTTGGTAAGCCGTTCCAGTGGTTCACGGACCATTGCGGTCTTCAGTGGCTCAAGAACACAAAGGATCCGAGGGGTCGATATGCCAGATGGATAGAGGAGCTGGAGGAATTCCAATTCACGGTTCACTTTCGGAAAGGCGCTGATAATTGTCCGGCTGACGCACTCTCCCGCAGGAGTGAAGGCGTTGGTGGCGGTGTGATGCCGCCTCAGGTGGCTGAAATCTCTCAGCCAGACCGGAGAGAGGACGAGAACGAAGAGTTTCTCCGGGCTCAACAGAATAACAAGTCTATGCGGGCCCTGAGAGACGAACTCATTCTGCACAGGCGGCACGGACGGGCATCTAGCAAATGGCTGCACATGGGTGTTGAGCCGGCCATTGATGTTCAAAGTGGTCTGTTGATTGGGAAGAAGGGAGCTCAGAGGTATATTTTGGTTCCAGATGAAATGATTGTGAGGGTGCTTCAACTAAAGCACGACAAAGCTGGTCATTTTGGCGCCGAGAGAACGACTACTTTGGTGCGAGAGAGCGGATATTTATGGATGGGGATGCACCAGGATATCAAAAACTACTGTCGCAGCTGTGTGATTTGTGCACGGTCCAATGACCCTCAGCGACGCCTCAAGGCGCCACTGGAAATGACCACGCAGCCAACGGCTCCGTGGCAGCATGTGGCCGTGGACCTGATGGGTCCGTTTGGCCGTGCGCCAACGACGAGGGGTAATCGTTACACCATCGTAGTGTTGGATTTGTTTTCCAAGGGTGTTGAGATCGCGGCGATTCCTGACAAATCGGCGGAGACTGTGGCCAGGGCCCTCACCGAAGTGATTTATAGACACGGGTTACCGGATTCTATTCTCACCGACAGAGGACTGGAATTCGACAATCAATATCTGCTGGCATTAACCAATGCTATGGGCATCGACAAAAAAAGAGTGAGCGCGTTCCACCCTCAATCGAATGGAGCTGTTGAGCGGGCGAACAAGACAATTGGTTCTATGTTGCGCAGAAATGCACAGGAATATAGAGAGAGCTGGGATACATGCATTGGGTTGGTTCGTTTTCAGTACATGACGGCACCTCATCACACAACAGGATATTCGCCATTTTATTTGCAATACGGACGTCATCCGAGAACCCCCGAGATGGCCCGGCTGGAGGGTGCTAAAGTTACCAAATCAGAGCAGGAGTGGGTAAAACAACTGGAGCGCAATTTGCAAGAAGCGCACAAGCACGTGATCATGAGAGAGGAGATCAAGAAGAAGGATCGCGTTGAAAAAAGCAGGCTCAAGAACGTTGGGGTGAAATATCGTGAAGGGGATAGAGTTTTCATGAAGGTACCAAAACGTACAGGAATGCCGGGAAAGCTCCAGACGCGCTGGGAGGGACCGTTTATTATCATTAGCTGCAGGCAGGGGAACACGTACCGGATTAAGAAGGAGGACAACTTTCGGCAGCGATATGTGCGACACTACGATGAATTAAAGCCGGTGGAACGTAGACAAGAACGGCTTCAGGAGTGGCATGGAAAGGGCACCGGACAGTTATCATCCCCGCCAAACAAATCCAGCGTCACAAGAGACAGCAAGAAGGACGAGGAGCAAAGCCGAGAGCACGGACAGGTGGTGTTAGACTCGGATGATTCAGAGGAGGAAGAGGAGGAAGAGGACGTGAGCTCGGATCAAAACACGGCCGAGCCAGCGATCGGAGAACATCCACAGACGCAGTTGCGGCGGAGTGAGAGAGAACGCCACCCGCCAGATAGATACGGTGAATGGACCGTATAAAAGAAGACCAGGGGAGGGTGGTAAAAGTGGGGTGGGGATAGTGTGGTGTGTATGTGCGAATGGACTGCATAAAAGAAGACTTAACACGCGCACTGCAGGGGGGGTTGTTTTCAACCCCCCCCTGTGGTTTTTCGCAAATTGCGAGAAAACGGCGGCGCGTAGCGCCGCCAAATTTTGCATACCTGTTCTCACAACTTTTGCACACCTTGAGTTAAAATTTTGACCCCAGGTAACCTATGGTCAGGTCACCAGGTCAGGTCAAGTGACCCTACCTCGAAACGTAAATTTCGAAGTTTGCAATCCCACCAAGCCCACAGTTGTTGAGATATTATCTTGAAACCCACAGGAAATAGTAAAGTCATCACGAGCTACAACTTGTTTATCTCGGAATTTTTATATCGATGACCTAAGGTCAGGTCATTTTTGCGACCGGCCCATTATAAGTCAATGGGAGAAATTTCAACTTACTCTGAATGCCATCCTATGACTTCAATACGCTCAGGATCATAGTATTACAGGTCCCTGTTGGTGATTTCACCGAAACATATCACTTATGACCTTTGGAAGGTGATCTCCAGGTCATCTTAGGTCACCTGAGGTCACCAGCGGTTTTTCTTCAATAACTTGAGATTGAGTAGAGATAGAGACTCCGTTCGACGTTTATCGTGTTTTTCTCGTCAATGCGGATCGAATGATATGCAACATGACCTATTTCGGTCAGGTCATGACCTTGACCTGAGGTCAAATTTTCAACTTGACCTTTCGAGGTCATATTATATATCATTCGATGCGCCTTGACGAGCTAAGAACGATGGCGTTCGAATCGATCCTCTGTCTTGTGTGCAAGACAAGTTATTCAAGAAAAACTACCGCGAAATTCCTGTTGTGAAAATCGTAACATTTTGTCTTCGGTGACCTCTGGTGACCTCGTTTTTGACCTGACCCAAAAATGATCTTAGTATTTCTTGTCGATCTCATCTTAACCTATCCAACGCCGTTTACCGCTTGTCGCTACGTTGCGCCGTTTTCGAGATCTCAGGGGGGGTTGTTTTCAACCCCCCCCCTGCAGTTCGTGTTCGGCTCAGACCCGCTGCAGTGCGCGTGTTAAGTGGGGTGGGGATAGTGTGATGTGCATAAGTTGGGGCACCCCGCGTGTGCGTGCCTGGGCGCGCCTCTGCGCTCGCCTGCCGCCGTGACCGGGACCTGGGCGACGGAGCGGCGGAGCGCCAGTCTACGGTTTGAGGTGAGTGAGAGCGCGCGGTCACAATCGCATGTTTGTTACGAGTCGTCATTCGGAATACTTCGGCTGTGAGGGCGCCAAGAGCGTTTTCAAGGTACGTTTCCCTTGTACTACATGCGCCTTTGAAGCAGCATTTCTTACTCATTATGCTACCATTTGTCTGGCCAATTCGGTCATGTCATCTTCAGCTCAGATTCAGATTCATTGTATTCACGTTAAATCCGCTATTGCGGCTTTTCATCAACGTAACGTCAAACGTTAAAAAGAGTTGACATAGCAAAACAGACACACACAATTCAAGCACAAGCACACACATGCATACAAGTCAATCAATCATTCAGTTTGAATCGCGCCCCAGCAAGTAGCGCTTCACGGCGGTTTTGAATGCTGGACGACCATTGTAACGGTGCATGAATTCGTTGTACTCAGAGACACCGCTATACAAAAGTTGCCGCCTGCCTGCCTCTGTTCGAATTCGTGGCAGCCTGAACCGGTTCGCATTTCGCGTGTTGTGACCCTGGTCGGTCGCTCTGTCCAACTTGCTTGCCATCGCAGTCGGCTGTTGTGTCTCCACAATGCGGTGTACAGAGCACATTCGATGATACAGGGCCATGTCTGGTGCAGTGAGCCACTGCAGATCGCGTAACACATCCGACACTCTGTCATATTTCCTCCGCCCGCTCACAACTCGCGCGCAAAAATTCAGTATTTTCTGAACGCGGTGCAACTCCGTAGCACCACAGGTACCGTAAACAGCGATGCAGTAGCGGTGTCGGGAAACAACGAGCGAGGTGACAATGGGCACGATTACATGGGGCGGCAGAACGTGTTTTGCGTGGTTTAAAGCTAATAATGTCCCGGTGGACCTAGAGACGAGGCGACTGACATGGTCGTGAAATGATAGGTGCTTATCCATGACAATGCCCAGGTTAGTAACCGAGTCGGACTCACGGATGGTCGTGCCGGCGAAATTCACACTGATAGTTGGCATGCCTTTCAGCATCTGACGCGTTCCCAAGACGATGAGCTGACTTTTTGCTGCGTTGACCTTCATGTCGTGGGCGCAAAACCATGCGTATAGGGTAGACAAAGCCTGTTCAGCAGTGCATATTAGTTGTTCAAGGTCTGCACGTTTTCCCGTGACGAGAAGCTGCGTGTCGTCGGCAAATTGCACAATGTTGACACCAGGGCCCAATCTTACCAATGCCGTGAATAGGCAAAATGCCGTGAATGGAGCCCATTCACGGCAACGGCATATTACCAATGCCGTGGATAGCTATTCACGCCATCTCATTCACGGCATGCGGTCGATGTTTATCCACGGCATTTTGGCAGTGCTTTAACATGGGCAGTGGCACAAGCTGCCGCGAGAGCGGCAGAACAAACGCAAATAATCAGCTGTTTGCGCTGTCGGTGGCCGTTCCATTCACGCCACCTTTTAGTGCCGTGAATGGCGGTTGTTGTGAAAGGGATAGGTCGCTGGGAGGATGTTACTATTGCAATATTTGACACTATTATTTTTTTTAAGTAAAGAATTCTTCATATAATGCCCTTGACATCTTAGAGCGACGATTACACGTATATTGATTATTTCAAAAACATGTATTTTCCAGGGATAAAATCACACTCAAATCCATAAAAATTAACATGTTTATTCATTATATGGTCTTATTTTTCAAATCCATACGAGATCGTGGAGGCAATTTTAGCATCTGGGTCCAATCATACCAATACCAAACCTATCTATATATGCTATAATATGGGTGTTTCAGTGTTCACCCCGTCCGGACGTCTCACAAACATCCTTCAAGTGATTTCTAAGTAAATATTTAAAACAATTAAATACCGTAAACTTGTCAAACAAGTATCAGCACTCACAATGCATGTTTTACCACTTTCTGTCTGGCACAGACAGCTACGGAGCATGCTGTCTTCATACGTCTCAATCTGACTTCTGAACTGAATGCCTTTTTCTTGATATGTTATGGTTTTGAGGTGTAGACGGGTTTCTTCAATATTTTGAGTAATTCCTTTTGTTATCGTGCTCGTAAAAAGCAGCAAATAAGGCTATAGCTTGAGCTGGCCGGGTGCATGTACCCAAAGTTTAAACTTTACGAGCTGCATTTCAATTGCATTATTCCAATGTCTTAGAAACAACAGCGGAGCTATCACTA